AATGTCCAAAGTGACGTTTTTAAATGTCTTCAGTTTACTGTGATGTAAAACTCAATCGATGATTAAGACATCAGCTGTTAATTGATTTTCTGTTAATCAATAATCAATTAAACTCTGACACAACAGAGGATGGAAATGTGTACGAATGATTGATATTAAATCTAAAATCAGCTGTGGATTGATTTCCTGTTGATGTGTAATAAATCAAAACTGACACAGAGTCCAGCTCAGTGAATATCGGATCGATATAATCAATAAACTCATCAGTTTGTTTAAATTACTCAGAATGTTTTTTTTTTATTATTAAATGTGACGTCACATCAGCAATTAAAATTTGGATCAGCGTGTGACATCAGTCCAGTTTGAAGTCACTGGTTTCAAACAGCAGCTGAATATAAACCAGTTCAGTTGTGTGTGAAACTCACCGGAGCGGAGTCCCGTCTCCTCCCGGTCCGAGCTCACTCCTGGACCCGCTCAGCTCCTCACGGCCGCCGGTCTGCTCCGGTCAAACTCTCCGCTGCTGCTCCCGGGGAAAGTTTGGGTTCACCTCCTGCTGCTCCTCCGGTCAGAGGAGGACTGAGGACCTGTCTGTCTGTCTGTCTGTCTGTCTGTCTGTCTGTCGGTGTGTCTAATTAAGACATGCACATGGACATGTTGCTGCGTGTGTGTGTGTGTGATCTCAGAGTATAGCAATCCGATAGTGACCTCTGCTGGTGACTTTGAGTCATGACTGTTCACCTGTTCAGATGTCAGACAGGTGTTCAGTGTTTACCTCCTCATGTGTAAACTCACTTTGATCTTCACACACACACACACACACACACACACCACATTAATATGATCACAGACTCTGTGCTGCTCAAACATATCAAAGGACAATATGTGTTTATCTGCAGATGACCTGGCATATCTCTACAGGTCTGGGACAGGTCTCTGCAGGTCAGGTCTCTGCAGGTCAGGTCTCTACAGGTCTGGGACAGGTCTCTGCAGGTCAGGTCTCTGCAGGTCAGGTCTCTACAGGTCTGGGACAGGTCTCTACAGGTCAGGTCTCTGCAGGTCAGGTCTCTACAGGTTTGGGGCAGGTCTCTGCAGGTCAGGTCTCTGCAGGTTTGGGACAGGTCTCTACAGGTTTGGGACAGGTCTCTACAGGTCAGGTCTCCACAGGTCTGGGACAGGTCTCTACAGGTCAGGTCTCTACAGGTCAGGTCTCCACAGGTCTGGGACAGGTCTCTACAGGTTTGGAACAGGTCTCTACAGGTCAAGTCTCTGCAGGTTTGGGGCAGGTCTCTGCAGGTCAGGTCTCTGCAGGTCAGGTCTCTACAGGTCAGGTCTCCACAGGTCTGGGACAGGTCTCTGCAGGTCAGGTCTCTGCAGGTCAGGTCTCTGCAGGTTTGGGACAGGTCTCTGCAGGTCAGGTCTCTGCAGGTCTGGAACAGGTCTCTGCAGGTCAGGTCTCTACAGGTCTGGGACAGGTCTCTACAGGTTTGGGACAGGTCTCTGCAGGTCAGGTCTCTACAGGTCAGGTCTCCACAGGTCTGGGACAGGTCTCTACAGGTCAGGTCTCTACAGGTCAGGTCTCCACAGGTCTGGGACAGGTCTCTACAGGTTTGGAACAGGTCTATGCAGGTCAAGTCTCTGCAGGTTTGGGGCAGGTCTCTGCAGGTCAGGTCTCTGCAGGTCAGGTCTCTACAGGTCAGGTCTCCACAGGTCTGGGACAGGTCTCTGCAGGTCAGGTCTCTGCAGGTCAGGTCTCTGCAGGTTTGGGACAGGTCTCTGCAGGTCAGGTCTCTGCAGGTCTGGAACAGGTCTCTGCAGGTCAGGTCTCTACAGGTCTGGGACAGGTCTCTACAGGTTTGGGACAGGTCTCTGCAGGTCAGGTCTCTACAGGTCAGGTCTCCACAGGTCTGGGACAGGTCTCTACAGGTCAGGTCTCTACAGGTCAGGTCTCCACAGGTCTGGGACAGGTCTCTACAGGTTTGGGACAGGTCTATGCAGGTCAGGTCTCCGCAGGTCTGGGACAGGTCTCTACAGGTCTGGGACAGGTCTCTACAGGTCAGGTCTCCACAGGTCTGGGACAGGTCTCTGCAGGTCAGGTCTCTGCAGGTCAGGTCTCTACAGGTCTGGGACAGGTCTCTGCAGGTCAGGTCTCTACAGGTCTGGGACAGGTCTCTACAGGTCTGGGACAGGTCTCTACAGGTCAGGTCTCTACAGGTCTGGGCTCCACAGGTCTGGGACAGGTCTCTACAGGTTTGGGACAGGTCTCTGCAGGTCAGGTCTCTACAGGTCTGGGACAGGTCTCTACAGGTCTGGTCTCTACAGGTCTGGGACAGGTCTCTACAGGTTTGGGACAGGTCTCTGCAGGTCAGGTCTCTACAGGTCAGGTCTCCACAGGTCTGGGACAGGTCTCTACAGGTCAGGTCTCTACAGGTCAGGTCTCCACAGGTCTGGGACAGGTCTCTACAGGTTTGGGACAGGTCTATGCAGGTCAGGTCTCTGCAGGTCTGGGACAGGTCTCTACAGGTCTGGGACAGGTCTCTACAGGTCAGGTCTCCACAGGTCTGGGACAGGTCTCTGCAGGTCAGGTCTCTGCAGGTCAGGTCTCTACAGGTTTGGGACAGGTCTCTGCAGGTCAGGTCTCTGCAGGTTTGGGGCAGGTCTCTGCAGGTCAGGTCTCTACAGGTCTGGGACAGGTCTCTGCAGGTCAGGTCTCTACAGGTCTGGGACAGGTCTCTACAGGTTTGGGACAGGTCTCTGCAGGTCAGGTCTCTACAGGTCAGGTCTCCACAGGTCTGGGACAGGTCTCTACAGGTCAGGTCTCTACAGGTCAGGTCTCCACAGGTCTGGGACAGGTCTCTACAGGTTTGGGACAGGTCTATGCAGGTCAGGTCTCCGCAGGTCTGGGACAGGTCTCTACAGGTCTGGGACAGGTCTCTACAGGTCAGGTCTCCACAGGTCTGGGACAGGTCTCTGCAGGTCAGGTCTCTGCAGGTCAGGTCTCTACAGGTTTGGGACAGGTCTCTGCAGGTCAGGTCTCTGCAGGTCTGGGGCAGGTCTCTGCAGGTCAGGTCTCTACAGGTCTGGGACAGGTCTCTGCAGGTCAGGTCTCTACAGGTCTGGGACAGGTCTCTACAGGTCTGGGACAGGTCTCTGCAGGTCAGGTCTCTACAGGTCTGGGACAGGTCTCTACAGGTCTGCTTTGTGTCCTCAGAGTCCAGACTAAACACAGAGAAGCAGCATTTAAAAGCTCTCACCGCTTTTAAACGAAGACTTCTGTTTCCTGCTGCCTTTTATTAAATCAAATATTTGTTCATTTCTTACGCTGCACTGTAACTTTGATTGTCTTCTGTTTTAATTAAATTTCTATCCTCCAGCTCCCTCATGCTGTTACCATGTTTCTTTACACTTTGTCTGAATGACTCTGATGTTTGGTGTTGAGCATTTTGGATCACCTTGTTGCCGTAACGTGCTGTAGAATTAAACCAGCCTTTCTGTGTGAACAGCAGCCTGTAGATAATCCATGGTGACACTAAGTCTGTGTTGAGGCAGCAGTCAGGTTTAATGCATGATGGGAGATGGTGTCTGTTGATGCAGCAGAGGACTGAACCAGGAAGTGACATCAGTTTGTTACTGAGGTGTCCTACGATGGCAGCATCAGCAGCTGGAACCCTGCAACCGGACATGACCCAGCCGAGGTCAGGCCGACGCTGGGCCAGGTCATTTTGGTGACGTACGGTTGAGTCTAAAGAGCCTCTCTCTAACCTGGCTCCATCGCCATGGTGACAGATGCTGCACACCTCACCTGAATAACAAACAGTCCCTGTTAACTGATTAATGATGGAGGGAGGGTCAGATGTCACTCAGGGAGGCTGAAGGAAAAAGATCTCAGGGAGAGTCAAAATTTAATAAAGCAAACAAAAACCAAAAAAACAAAACTTTGACAATTAAAGAACAGTCCCTAACACACACTGTAGGCCTATTCATCTTGTTGCCATGGAAACCTACAGTCTATCAGCAAAGCAGAGCATCAGTGGAAGGGGCTGAACACATGCTGCATTTTTTGTGCTCTCAAATTCAGTGTTTTCAATGCAGACGTGCAGCAGGCGCACTCAGACACCAGAGTGACGCCATTACACGTGCAAGTGTTCCTGAGCGCCTAGTTTTCAGGGTGCGATAGCTGCGCCCCGAGATGAAGTTCATCTTTTGGAACGCAGCAGTGCGCAGGGCATGTCATGTGATGAGGACCAACCAATCACAGCCAACAAATATCTTTCCCTTCTTCTGTAAATATTCAGTTTGTGATAAATATGGAGGAGACGTTGATCATGTTAGTGCAGAGCTGCCCAGAGCTTTACACCTGTCCCACAGACGATAGGCCTACACACGTATAAACAGCTCCTGGAATTAGATCAGCTCTGACCTCAGGATTTTACATAAATAGACTATGTGATGCTTGTTAAAGGGATAGTGCACCCAAAAATGAAAATTCAGCCATTATCTACTCACCCATATGTCGAGGGAGGCTCAGGTGAAGTTTTAGAGTCCTCACATCACTTGCAGAGATCCAAGGGGAGAGGAGGTAGCAACACAACTCCACCTAATGGAGGCTGACGGCGCCCCAGATTCAAACGTCCAAAAACACATCATTGAAACCACAAAATATCTCCATACTGCTCGTCCGTAGTGATCCAAGTGTCCTGAAGCCCCGACATAAAAAGCTGTTTGGAAAAACCTCATTTGAACTCTGTTTTTAGCCTCATTGTGCAGCACAGGTGTGTTGCTACCTCCTCTCCCCTTGGATCTCTGCAAGTGACGTGAGGACTCTAAAACTTCACCTGAGCCTCCCTCGGCATATGGGTGAGTAGATAATGGCTGAGTTTGTGTACAGCCTCTAATTTCCAGTTTGATTATATCAGTCAGGTTGCTGTGCTCTCTGGTCCATTCGTCCACGCCTGCTCTGAAAGAAACTTTCCATAAAAACAGATTTCATTTCAACAAAAAGCTGAGTTATTAAGTCTGTCACATGATTGTAGATTTATTTACAACACTTTATACAGAGAGATGTGAAGGTGTGGTGACAGGATGAGCACCTGCACAGGTAAAAGATGAGGATGTCAGACAGACACTGTGAAACTGGTGATCTGTAACTGACGAATCAGAGAGGTAATAACTAAGACTGATGAGACTCCACGAGCTCTTTAAGGCAGGTACAGAAGGCTGGAAAAGATCGGTAGGTGGGAACAGAACTCAGACGGCCCCGCCCCCTGCTGAGACTGGCCTGTGATTGGTTGGGGAATGTGGGCATGTCAGCACCAGTTCTTTACAATCCGCTTCCTGTTTCCATGGAAACAATCTTGTCCAACAGCTGTCTGTCTGCTGTTACTCTTGTTGGCTGGAGTTGAATATCTTGGCTAACAGCGAGACATTCGATTGGCTCTTCTGCTGTATGAGGCGGGCCTTGTCCAGGTGCTTCTGGGAAACGGTGTCTTTCCTCTTCTTCTTCTTCATCTGGATCTCCTCCTCCGTCTGACGCTGAGTGAAGTCCCACGTCCTGTCGTCCACCTGATGGCGACAAATAAAGTTTTACTACAAACACGAGACATCTACTTCCTGTGTGTCCGTCCTGAAGAGTGTCCCCCCTGTGTGTCTAACATGTTGGATAGATTTGATGTGAGGACAGAAGCCGTCACACTCTGAACACACTGTACAGATGTGGAGACGCATCTGTGATACTGGGCTGTATGAAGAACAGGTGAGTTTACCTGTTGTCCGTCTCTCTGTCTCTTCCTCCTCAGCTTGTCCAGGTGAGCGCTCTTATCCACGTTGTTCAGGTAGAAGTTTGTTTCTCTCTTTGCCTGAGACACTTCAGTCCTGAGTCTCTGCTGGAGAACCGTCTGCTCGTAGGCCAGCCGCTCGCTCAGGTGAGTCCACTGGAACCTGTGCAGGTACTACAGACAGAGAGACAGACAGACAGACAGAGAGACAGACAGACAGGACATAGATTGGTGACAGTGTGACATCAAATCCGGACTAAAGATAGTCCTCATGGTCACCTGTTTCCTGCTGTGTGACATCACAACCAGTGGACCAGTGAAGCCGTGGAGGACACACTGTACAGCCTGTGATGTCACACCATTAACACCAGGTGAGGCAGAACAATGACAAACCTCGCCTGCACAGCTGACCAATCGCAGTGTGAGGTGGGTGTGATGTCAGAGTGTTTCGGGAAGTTACAGACACGGTCAGTCTCAGGTACAGTCCTCGCTCAGGTGAAATAATCAGGATCTATGATGTAACCGTGATGTCAGCTGTTGCCGGGCGGACTGTACCTTGATGCACCAGAGGTCGGAGGAGAAGCGCTGGCGTTTCCTGCTTCCCATCGGCGTGTTGTGGAGAGACGAGGCCACTTTCTTCGCCACACGTTTATCTCGAAACTCCACCCACCCTTCAGTGAAGTCACACCTCCTCAACCCCGACTTCCTCTTCCTCCTCCTCACCTGTCCATCTGAGGACCAATAGTTCACTGATCAGTAAACAGGAAGCTACAAACTGTCTGAGGACAGAGGAGATGAGGACAGAGGAGATGAGGACAGAGGAGACGAGGACAGAAGGAGATGAGGACAGAAGGAGACGAGGACAGAAGGAGATGAGGACAGAAGGAGGCAAGGACAGAAGGAGACAGGGTGTGTATATATGTGTATATGTGTGTGTTGTTGTTGTTGTGTATTTGTACAGGAAGTACCCTCCGGCTGAAGGAAGACGCGTCCGATCTCTCCGTACACCGACAGCATGTTCCTCAGGTGTTTGGGGCGGAGCCTCGGAGGAATGTGACCCAGGTAGATAATCCCTGGAACACACTTCCTGTCTGGACAGGAAGTCACTCTGACAGATTTCTGTTTAGCCTTCTTCATCCCTGCAGCATCTTTATCACCATCCTCCTCCTCCTCCTCCTCATCACCTCCTCTCTCTGCAGCCTTCTCCTCCTCCTCTTCATCCCCATCTTCATCATCATCACCTCTCTCTGCAGCCTCCTCTTCATCATCACCTCTTCTCTCTGGAGCCTCCACCTCTGTCTGAGCCGTAGTCTTCCTCTCCTCCTCCTCCTCTTCCTCCCTCCTCTCCATCTCTCTACAGACAGACAGATTCACTCTGAGGTCTTCCTTCATCGTTCATGACAAATGGACAAAAGTTTGTGGACGCTGCTGATTTCAGGTTCTGTTTTTGGGATCGCTGTAGATGTCTCGTGTGTCGAACACAAACTTCATTATATATTTTTATTTCCTGTGAGTAACCATTTCCTGTCGCTGCCTCTGACCAAAGTTAATAACTGTAGATTGTTGTTATTTACTAACAAACCTTCAGAGAAGTCGCAGCATGTTACTGTAGCTGAGGCTCTGCTGGGTGTCACTACTCATGTTTGCATTAATGACGTATTCCCTAAGCTGAGGATCGATTATAAATCGATTATTGACTAAAGGAACCTGACCCTGACCAGGTGATGATGGGTTACCATGGTGATGGAGGCATGTTAAAAGAAAACTCTTTACACGTCGTCACGTCACTAACTGCTGTGACTTCATGTCGCTGTGCAGTGTTTCTACTCTGAAGCTGAACCAGTTGAAACAGACCTGAGATCAGTGAATTAACCAACAGCTGGAGGAAGAGTTTAATATTAACACACACTGTGTTCATAACAATAACAACAAATAATCTCACCTTCAGTTTGACTTTAAAATCCTCATCGACACTGCAAACACACACGTGCGGAACGTTTGTCGCGTCTCAATGACGACAGCAAGCGTCGCGTATGAAAACTCTGCTGATACACAGCTTCCGGTTAACCCTTCAAAATAAGACTTTGGGAACTAAAAATAGTGCAGTTACTGTTCGGCTTATTAAAAGTTAAATACGTTTGTTTATGTATATAAATACATATAATGTGGTGTTTGCTTCGGTGTGTTTGTCAGTTTACTCGGGGACACTGAGGCGGAGGGTGGTGATGTGCAGAAAACATGATCCTAGGTGAACTGTGACAGTAATAAATGTTCACTTATTATTGGAAACTCCTCTGAAATAATAAGATGTGAGAATTTTAAAAAATAAAAACAAAGCTGTGACAGTTATTCACAGATACATTAATCTATAAAAAGTAGGGACTGTTCTTTACTTATGACTTCAGTTTTTTTAAATTAATTTAATTCATGTATTCCTTGACCCTCCCTTTTTAACGAGACAAAGAATAAAGTGATTTTGATGAAATATCAGTATTAGAAGCTCAGATTTGGTTATTGTTTTTTTCTGGCAGAAGCACGTTGTGTCCAAGGACTGAATCCAACAATAATTTTTGTTTTGCAGTTTCTGCATGTGATAAATTGTGTAATTTGGGCTTTATTTTATTTTTTTTCTACAGAAAACATGCCTTTCGTCTTCTCTAAAAATTGCCAAAAATACCAAAGTTTTTCAAGACCAAAAAAAAAAAAAAAAAAAATTAGTAGTAAAATAAATACAACCATTTCAATCTTTATGCCCCTCCTCTACACCAAAATAAAAAACACAATTACCTCCCTAAAAATTGATTTGACATGTCCATTATCCATAAATCACATTTGATTCAGAGTTACATTTTAGATGACGATTTAAGCAAACCTGGTTGTTGGGTTGTTTACATTGTATTGCCTTACTAAAAATAAACAATAAAAACAAGTCGATTCCAATAATGTAGTTTTAAATATTTAGCTTACTTCCAGACAGTCAAATTGACAATAGTAAAATATTCACACTCTCCCCACCAGACTGGAGACAGATGTGATACGGAAGGATGGAGGGAAATAAAATCCACTCAGAGTGGAATTAAACAGTAAATTAAATAAATAAAATATGAAAAATAACTAAGCGATTGTAGACACCTTGGAGGAATTGTCTGACACAAAAACCTCTCACAGGAAACTAAACATTATTGTTTATCAGCTCCAACAACTCTTACTGTGAAAAGTCCGACCGGAAGCTGGTCTGAGCTGAACGGCATGCTGGGAAAACTGTCATTGCGGGATGTTTTGAAGCGGAAGCTAACGTTAGCAGTTAGAAGATGCAGAGGTCGGTGTCCAGTTTGTCTCTGAGTCCCAGTGTGAAGATGAAACTGGTCACGGCTGGTTTCCAGTTCACCGCAGACCTGCTGCACCTCAAACCGCTGCAGCTCAGCAAAGGTACAAAATATCTCCGAATTAATCCGTGTGTCAGTTTCTGTCTGTCTCCAAACTCATCATCATGTCCCGATTTTAAAATCCTTGTTTCGTGACTAACATAAACAACAAACAGGTGAAGATCAGTAGTAGAGAGTAACTAAGTACATTTACTTAACTACAGTACTTATGTGCTTTTTGAGGTACTTGTACTTTAACCTGTCTGACGCTTTATACTTCTCCACATCTAACTATGATGCCATAATATCATAATAAAAGTCACGCTGACCACACTACACACACTGATTATTATTGGATGTCACTGTGGATTAAAGAGGGTTGAATGTTTTGTGTTGCAGAGGCCAGTCTGTCCCAGCAGGAGGCGCTGGAGGTGCTGCAGGCTGTGAGGAGGGAGGGAGGAGGAGGTGATGAAGCAGCAGCAGCAGCAGCAGCAGCAGGAGGAGGAGGAGGAGGAGGAGCGTCGGCCTCTCTGACAGCTCTGGAGCTCCTGCAGAAGGAGGAGGAGCTGAGGAGCATCATTACATTCTCATCTCAGCTGGACGCCATTCTCGGAGGAGGACTTCCTGTCGGGAAAACTACCGAAATCTGTGGAGCTCCAGGAATTGGAAAAACCCAGCTGTGGTCAGACGCACACGCACACGAACACACACACACACACACACACACACACCATCACCAGGTCACAGGCTCAACTGGTGGTGCGTTTACTGTATCAGCTGATAATCAGTGAAGTTAGAGATGATCTTTATTGATGACATCATCCTCTCAGCCTGCAGCTGGCGGTGGACGTTCAGGTCCCTCAGTGTTTCGGGGGCGTCGGAGGTCAGGTGGTCTACATCGACACCGAGGGAAGCTTCCTGCTTCAGAGAGTCATCGATATCGCCGCTGCCGCTGTACAACACTGCTCCTTATTGGTCGAAGACGACGAGCAGCGAGCCGCCATGGGGGACTTCACTGTGGAAACCATCCTGTCCAACATGTTCCTGGTAATGATGGCAGGTCGTCATGGTAACAGAGCCCTGTCACAGTCATGTCACCGCACAGCAGCAGGTTATAATGATTCTGATTGGCTGTCTGTCCTACCTCTCTCAGGTACGTTGCCATGACTACGTGGAGCTGCTCGCCGAGCTCCACCTGTTGCCTGACTTCCTGTCTGACCACCCGAGGGTCCGCCTCCTGGTGATCGACAGTGTGGCCTTCCCGTTCCGGCAGCACTTTGACGAGCTGTCGCAGAGGACACGCCTCCTCAGCGGCCTCGCCCAGCAACTCATTACCATGGCAACCACCCATAACATCGCTGTAGTAATGACCAACCAGATGACCACCCGGCTGCGGGGTAGCCAATCGCAGCTGGTCCCCGCCCTCGGAGAGAGCTGGGGCCACGCCCCCACCATCAGGCTCCTCCTCCACTGGTCGGGGTCACAGCGGCTGGCGGACATCTTTAAATCTCCAGATCATAAGGCGGCCACCGTCCAATACCAGATCACCTCGGAGGGATTCAGAGACGTTGACCAATCAGAGCAGCCGCCGAGCAAACGGCCCCGGACACACACCGTCCAATCAGCTGCCAGCTAGAGAGACACCGGCTGCTGATTGGCCAGAGAGACCCTGATGAACACATGAACACGTATCTGTGTGACAATTCAGTCAGAGTGAATCTCAGCTGGAAAGAAAAGAACACAGATACAGAAACACAGACGCCTCATTGGCTGCTGGATTGTTAATCAGCGGTAACGCCATATTGGAGAGGTCGAGACTTCCTGTGAACAAATGACAGTAAACAGGAGCTGCAGTTTTACTGGACAACAAGAACTACAATTTTCTACAAATTTCTCAACTAATGGCAGCAAGTGGGTTTTATATTCATGTGTTCATATGGAGCAGTGGGTGACAACAAACCCTTTCAGTCCAGCACCTTTGGAACCAGCAGTAAGCCTTCAGACATGGTACCTAGACCCTCGGTCTGTTCAGACAGTCCTCTTAAATGTGGGCGGGGTTGTTGTCACTCACTGCTCCGTCCAGATGATCGTCAGTGTCACTTTAACCCTGTTTAAATAAAGCTTATTAAAGTAAAATAACAATAAAGAGCTTCTTTTCTAAAAAGCTTTATTAGTTATTTCTGAGATGAGCTGCACATCTTTTCATTTAGGGACTGTTCTTTACCTATCAGAGGAGGAGGGTGTGACTCTATTTTTGTTTGTTTGCTTTACTTTCGCCGAAGCCACAAATATTTGTCCTTGACCCTCCCTGAGTGACTGGAGGAAAATCCATGACCCTCCATCCTCCATTAATGAGTTATTAGATTTCTAAAACTTACCCTCTGATGTTTGAAAGTTAAAAGCTGAAGATGAAATCCTGGAGTTGAAAAAGTCTCAGTTTTTCACTCTTGTCGTGCAAACGGTTTATTTTTGGACACATTTTAAATGAGACAATAAAGTGATGATAAACTTTTATTTTCATCTCAAGTGATGTGTCCAAGGACTGCTGAAAATTTCAAAATCCATTTTTACAGTTTCTGGCTGCAATAAATTGTGTAATTTTGTTTTCTTTAACAATTGTCAAAAATATTTAAAGAAAACAAACCTGTTCTCCTGTTATAAACATATTTATACATGATATAATAACAATACTATAGATTAATGTATATAAACATATTTATATAAACGAGCTGATGCATTAAATAGATGTAACTAGTACCTAGCATGTCTTTATTTTTTATTAATGTGTTTGTATAATGAAGTCATTTAAAAAATTAAGTACCGGAGGCGGCTGTGACGTCACTCCCGGTGCGGTGAGTGTCTCCGTCAGGACGCACCGGAGGAGCGGAGCTGAGCGGAGCAGCAACATGGCTGCAGATTACTGGGAGCCAGAAAGCCCCGAGACTCTGTCAGACTGAACCGAGCCAAAGACAACCCGGGACAGACCGGGACAAACCCTCCCGGTGAGTAACACACGCCGCCGAGCTTCGTGTGTCACCGGGAAACCGTTTTATTCCGACGTAACGGAGCAGCAGCTTCACAGATAGAGCCGCTCCGCCTCCGCTGCTATTTATATCACACCGAGGACATTTACTGCAGCACATAGACGGGTCCCGTCCCGTCCTCCACACACCGATACACTAACATGTAGACGGAACACACTCAGGTTATAGACGGGACCAGAACCGGAGTGATTTGTGACGTGAGACAGGAGCGGAGCTGTCCGTCGGTCCGTCAGGTGTTAGCCTGTTACCTGTCTGTCACATCAACACCGACCTGCGGTCTGTACAGTTTCAATGTGATGATGAGGCTCTGCAGGTGATGAGGTGTGACCTCACAGCTCGGTTCTGCCAACAAAACTTTATTTACATCCTGCTGACGACACAAACACAAACATATTTCTGTTGTGGTGTCTCGACTTGATTTAAACCTTTTGTTTCAGCACTGAAGGCCGAACCATCGTCAGACTGAGGAATTGAGTTCATGCCCCGACACTTCATTAGGGACTGTTCGTTACTCATGAGGGGGAGGGGTGGTGCCCAAAGGAGGGGCATGTCAAGTGTTTCTTTAAGCACCGGGGAGGAATATACAAATTTAAATGGACGTATTTTATATTTATTTTACCACAAATTTAAAAATTCCTTCAGAAGGCCTTTAAAAAATTCTATAAAACCTTTTTTTTAAAAAAAAAAAATTCTAGAATACTTCTTGGCTATTTTTTGCCATTACAGTTTTTTGGCTTTTTTTTTTTTTTTTTGTTTCAAAATTTATGTCATTTTTTTCTGTGGAAAAAAAAAGGCTTTTTTAATTTTGGCGATTTCTTCATCTTTAAAATTAATTGTTTTGTGTAAAATGTCTGTCATTTCTATCCTTTATTTATTTATTTATTTATTTTTGTTTAAATTTTTCTGGCAATTTCCTCTGGCTTTTTTATTTTGTGCAGTTTTTTTTGTCTGTAAACATTTTTTGGCACTTTTTTTTTTAATTTTTGGCAATTTTTACAGAAAAGATGTATGGAAGGCATGTTTGAATATTTTTGGTGATTTTTTTCTGTCTTCATTTTTGGCAATTTCTAAAGAAAACAAGGCAGGTTTTCCTTAAAAGTCGCCAAAATTACATCATTTATCGCAACGAGAAACTGTAAAAACAGAAATTATCATTGGATTTTCACATTTCCGATGCTGCATGGACACATCATGATGGAACACTTCGGAATGCTTCAGAAAAATAGTGATATTTTATTAAAATCACTTTATTCTATGTGTCATTAAAAAGTACAGAACAGTCCCTTAAAGGTGCAGTCTGTAGGCTCAGGCTTATGTAGCCTGTGTGCCAAACATGTAGGAGAACTATGATAGATGACGCAGGAAAGCAAATGTCCCTGTCAAGAGTCAGTGTTTGGTTTGTCCCTTCTGGGCTACTGTAGAAACAGCATAGTGATCTCTGTAGACAATATCTTGCTAGATATGTAGATATAAAGGGCTCATTCTGAGGTAACTAAACACAACGATTTTTATTTTCAGGTGATTAAACACTAAAGAAAACATGGTTATGAATACTGTGCTCCATGTCTGCTGACAGACGCCCCTGAATACACACTGGAGCTTTAAAGAGCAGCAACATGACATCAGCTGTGATGTAACGGCTGACTCTGAGACCACACTGTCAGATTTAAATCATTTATTTAAAATCGTCAAGATCAAAACCACATTTCAGTCCTTTCTGAATTCAGAATTGAAATGGTGACATCACTTATATTTTGGTATCCTAGCCTTCATTTCCTGTGTCTACCTGTCCAGGTGTGGTCTCCAGGCTGGCTGCCCCGCCCCCCTCAGCATCACGCCCTCCCCTGCCCCCCCGGCCCCCCCTCATGGAGAGGATGAGGAAGATCAAACGGCAGCTGTCACTCACTCTGGGGAGGGGAGGGGCCGGGGGAGGGGACAGGACGCTGAGTGACACCATCAACCAGGAAGTGACATCACACAGTGACTCAGGTAACACACACATGCCCACCCTCAGTGCCCCCCGATCCCCCAGGTACTTAAAGGAGAAGTTCACTATGTTCAGTGTTGATGGTGTGTAGTTAGTTAGAGCTGAGTTTTCCTTCTTACACAGCTGTTACCTCAGTTCCTACATGTACCAGGATGCATTGCACCTGAGCTCCTGATGCTCAGCCGCCGAATACTTGCCAAACCTGCCCAGCACGTGGAGGCGGGCGTTTTAAATGCTGATCTGTTTACAAAAAGTAGAGGCGTCTGAAATAAATTACTGAACTGTTCGACAGGAGCAGCGACAACATGAATATAATAACACTGTAGTGTCATGAACAACAAACAGGCCTCATGGGCTGCGTCCACCAAAGTGTTTCTTCTGAGGCCGGCGTATTTTCATACTTCCACACAGGTGAGAGTCGTGGCCGGAGGCTTTATGTTTTCAGGTTGTCTGTCCGTCCATACGTCCGTCCCATCCTTGTGAACAAGATATGTCAAGAATGCTTTGCCTTGAATTTCATCAAATTTGGCACAAATGTCCACCTGGACTAAACAATTAACTGATTAGTTTTAAGTTGTCAAAGGTCAAGGTCACTGTGACCACTGTTTGATGTTTCCACCACAGACAGTCGTCTTAAATGTGGGCGGGGTTGTTGTCACTCACTGCTCCGTCCAGCACTCGCTGTATTTCCTCATCAGCGGTGACACAGATGGAAGTCTGCACCTGGTTTATCGTCCACAGAACGAGGCTGCACGCCCACATTTTCACAACAAAATAGAACAGACTGCAGTGAGAGTCTTTCTCCATGGGATATTTAAAAATAGCAGCTTTGTGCATTTAGTCCTTCCCAGGCAAGCTCAGGGCCCGTATTCACAAAGATTCTCAGAGTCCTCTCAGAGAGCTCCTAACTTAGCCTGACAAATTCCTAGCAAGGAATCTTAGCTTAAGAGTGATTCAGGAAGTTTCTGAGAGCAACTCTGAGCAAGGAGGGGACAGAAACTTTTATCTTAGTGAGGAGGTGTGGTTGACCCCGTTGCTAGGTATGACGCAGTCTTCTGAAAGCTGTGATTGGTTGTTACAAAAAAGTAATGAATGAACAGTGAAATGAACCGATCATAGAACTTAAGAAATAAGAAATGTGTAATCGTGAAAATAATGATGAAACTCAGCAAAATTAAATTAACTGTTACACAGCTTTAAAATGTTTGAACGTACTGCATTCACATGCCGATTATTATATTGATTTGCTTATTATGTTTACTCGCCATGCTGGTAATTTTACTACTTAATCTATTTAATATTAATGGTGGACGCAGACTCAGCTGTCAGCAGTTACTGTGATTGCTGGCCTCCTTGTAAAAAGCGGTTTGATTTGGCAGAATGACCAAAACAACGAACGAAATGGAGAAAAAAAGAACGAGAAAGCCGAACTGGACAGAAGAGCAGTGCCTGCTGTTGGCACAGCTCGTGGAGGAGAACAGCAGAGCTTTAAGAGGGAAATTCGGTCCCGGGATCACGGCACAAGGGAAGAGGCAGACTTGGGAGCACATTGCCCAACAAATCAATGCGTCGTTCCCTCTCCTTTTACGCACAAGCGATGAGTGTGAGAAGCGCTGGTACGTGCTGCAATCCAAAGCGGGCGTTACTGCGTTACTACGCTGGGTGGGAAAAGTAATTATCCCTGCACGATCAAGCCGGTAGCGTCGTATTATTAAATCACTGTCGTTCAATATACGGAGAATATCTCTCCTTCCTCTCTGTCTTTCCGCCATCTTCTCTGTTTAAGACACTCTTAGGCTTCTTAAAAGTCCTCCTCCTCCTCTTAAGTTTTTCACCTTAGGAGCTGTCTTAAGGCCTAAGATGCTTTGTGAATAACTTTTATCTTACCAAGGGAAAATCTAAGATTTTTCTTAGAATGACGTCACTAAGAGCTACTTTTAGTCTTAGGATTCTTTGTGAATACGAGCCCAGGGGTTTAGTGTTGCTGTAGCCCACAGGAAGTGAGGATTAGAATATATGACCTTCACATAATCCGCTCCAAATTAATCAATATTTTTAAAGTCATTACTAAAAGTGTGTGTCATATAAAAACTAAAGTGATGGTCAAAGTTGTCACAGTGAAATTTAAGGTGTGCTGATGGATTCACGTCATCAACTCATGCATTGAGTAACATTACAAGTTAACGTTCCACCTTAAAAGTTGCCGGCAGTCGGCCCAGTGAATGCTGCGTTAAAATTTAAACGTCACAGTGGTGACAGGGTGAAAAAAGTGACACCTGACTCCTCCCTCTGATCTGATTGGTTGGTTGGATTTATGATTTTGATTGGTCGTCTGTTGGAATGACCAATCGATCAGTTAATTGATCTGCTTCTCTGATCTTTGTTTCTCTTCCCCCCCCCCTTAATCAACCAATCAACATCCTCCATCAAACATTAACTCCTCCCACCCCTCCATCACCTCGCCACCATCCCACCATCATCCCCCGTCCATCACCTCTCCACTTTTTTTTCATCATCCCTCCATCATCTCTACATCACTCTTCTGTCATCCCTCCACCATGCCTCCATTACCTCTCCATCCTTCATTCCCCTCCACCATCCCTCCATCAGAGGTGGTGTCTCTTCGTGGTTCCTCTGGAAGTTTGAAGGTTCGAGGTTCGTCTTCATCAGTTCAGTCTCTCCTACAGTCGTACAGCAGCTCACTGAGGAAGCCTCGAGGCCTCGGACGCAGCCTGAGCTCCTACCTGAACCACACCACCAGACTGGGTACAAATACTGCACCACCTGAACCACACCACTGCTTTTGAATCCAGAGTGTACTCTGTGCTGTAGTACTGTGTAGTACTGTGTAGTACTGCTGTCAGATTCTGTGTTCATGTTGTGTACGTGTATTTGTTTGTGTATTTTCAGAGATCGTCCATGAGGATGTGAAGATGAGTTCAGATGGAGAAAGTGATCCAGCTTCTTCATCAGATGATGTTCAAAGTCCCGTCAGAGTGAGACTGAGAAACAAGAAGATCTCCTCTGAGGTACACACACACACACACACACTGATCTGTAAACACACATTTAGTGGGTGACGTTTGTCTTTAACAGAGAAAGGACAATCAGATCTATGTCTCTGTCTCTGTCTCTGTCATGTTTCAGGACATCAACAAACGTCTCTCGTTACCGGCCGACATCCGTCTTCCAGACGATTACCTGGAGAAGTTTAATCTGATTGGTCCGGCTCTGTTTGAGCAGCCAATTAGCCGAAGGCTGCGCAGAGTGTCTCTGGTACGTCTTCCTGTTTCTATTGTATTCTATTATCAGAGTCTGGTGTCTTGATACAGGTTATATATGGACGGTCTGTCTCCCTGTCTGTCTCTGCAGTCAGAGATTGGTTTTGGGAAACTGGAGACGTACATCAAACTGGACAAACTGGGAGAGGTGAGGACTCATCTGCGTTAAAGTGAACAGACAGTTTGAATCAAACCCTCTCTACCTGTCTCTCTGTCTCACCTGTCCCTCTCTACCTGTCTCTCTGTCTCACCTGTCCCTCTCTACCTGTCCCTCTGTCTCACCTGTCCCTTTCTACCTGTCTGTCTCACTTGTCCCTCTCTACCTGTCTCTCTGTCTCACCTGTCCTTCTCTACCTGTCCCTCTGTCTCACCTGTCCCTCTCTAACTGTCTCTCTGTCTCAACTGTCCCTCTCCACCTGTTTCTCTGTAGGGGACATATGCTACAGTGTATAAAGGTCGCAGTAAACTGACTGATAACCTCGTGGCTCTGAAGGAAATTCGACTGGAACATGAAGAAGGAGCTCCGTGTACTGCAATCAGAGAAGGTACTACAGTATTAATACTGTAGTACAGTATTAATACTGTACTACAGAAGTAACACTACACTAATACTGTACTACAGAGGTAACACTACAGTATTAATACTGTACTACAGAAGTAACAATACACTAATACTGTACTACAGAAGTAACACTACAGTACTAATACTGTACTACAGAGGTAACACTACAGTACTAATACTGTACTACAGAAGTAACACTACAGTACTAATACTGTACTACAGAGGTAACACTACACTAATACTGTACTACAGAGGTAACACTACAGTATTAATACTGTACTACAGAAGTAACACTACACTAATACTGTACTACAGAAGTAACACTACAGTATTAATACTGTACTACAGAAGTAACACTACACTAATACTGTACTACAGAAGTAACACTACAGTACTAATACTGTACTACAGAGGTAACACTACAGTACTAATACTGTACTACAGAAGTAACACTACACTAATACTGTACTACAGAGGTAACACTACAGTATTAATACTGTACTACAGAAGTAACACTACACTAATACTGTACTACAGAAGTAACACTACAGTACTAATACTGTACTACAGAGGTAACACTACAGTACTAATACTGTACTACAGAAGTAACACTACACTAATACTGTACTACAGAGGTAACACTACAGTATTAATACTGTACTACAGAAGTAACACTACACTAATACTGTACTACAGAAGTAACACTACAGTACTAATACTGTACTACAGAGGTAACACTACAGTACTAATACTGTACTACAGAAGTAACACTACACTAATACTGTACTACAGAGGTAACACTACAGTATTAATACTGTACTACAGAAGTAACACTACACTAATACTGTACTACAGAAGTAACACTACAGTACTAATACTGTACTACAGAGGTAACACTACAGTACTAATACTGTACTACAGAAGTAACACTACACTAATACTGTACTACAGAGGTAACACTACAGTATTAATACTGTACTACAGAAGTAACACTACACTAATACTGTACTACAGAAGTAACACTACAGTACTAATACTGTACTACAGAGGTAACACTACAGTATTAATACTGTACTACAGAAGTAACACTACACTAATACTGTACTACAGAAGTAACACTACAGTACTAATACTGTACTACAGAGGTAACACTACAGTATTAATACTGTACTACAGAAGTAACACTACACTAATACTGTACTACAGAAGTAACACTACAGTACTAATACTGTACTACAGAGGTAACACTACAGTACTAATACTGTACTACAGAAGTAACACTACACTAATACTGTACTACAGAGGTAACACTACAGTATTAATACTGTGCTACAGAGGTAACACTACACTAATACTGTACTACAGAAGTAACACTACAGTATTAATACTGTACTACAGAGGTAACATTATACTAATGCTGTACTACAGAGGTAAAACTACACTAATGCTGTACTACAGACGTAACACTACAGTATTAATACTGTACTACAGAGGAACACTACACTAATACTGTACTACAGAGGTAACACTACAGTACTAATACTGTACTACAGAGGTAACACTACACTAATACTGTACTACAGGGGTAACATTATACTAATGCTGTACTACAGAAGTAACACTACAGTATTAATACTGTACTACAGAGGTAACGCTACACTAATACAGTACTACAGAAGTAACACTACAGTACTAATACTGTACTACAGAGGTAACACTACAGTACAGTACAGTGTAGTGTAACACACACCTGCAGCATCCAGTCTGTTTACTCAAACTCAAAGTGTAAGAAAGAAATAATAAAACCCAGATTCAGGATACTGTAAATAAAAACAGAATGTAGTATTTTTACTGTCTTCCAGATTTCTGCAGACCCCAGCTTCAATGAGTGTGCTAATGTGTCTGTGCTATTGTGTGTGTATTATTATATGTGTACTTTCTTTTAGTGTCTCTGCTGAAGGATCTGAAACACGCCAACATCGTCACGCTCCATGACATCATCCACACACAGAAGTCCCTCACGCTAGTGTTTGAGTATCTGGTGAGACACACACACACACACAGACAGACACAGACAGACACAGACATATCTTATTTGGTGTAATCAACATTTAATCATGTTTCTTGTGGGTTTTAGGACAAAGATCTGAAACAGTATCTGGACGACTGTGGAAACATTATCCATGTTCACAATGTCAAAGTGAGAAAACCTTTAATGTACCTGTTTGTATGTATTCATACCACGCACGCACGCACGTACACACACACACACACAGAACGGAAGTACAGAGAGTTGGTGACCAGAGGCGATACACCGTCTTATTGTGGTCACTTCCTGTGAATCAACAGCTTTTTACAACGTTACAGAATGGAGTGTTGACAGTAGCTTATTGTTTCAACTTGTCTTGTCGTGAATTTTTGGTCTGAACTGGACTTAATCAAATTACTGTTATTTTAACAGCCCTGATATATGTATACTCACTCAATATATCACTGCACATTTGTCATGAAGTTAGTTGGTTATTTTATTTAAGGTAGACTCTAACCAGCAGCTCTCTGACCTGGATTTATTTGATAACCAGTGATTCTTTGAACTGGTTTGCGTCTCCTCAGCTCTTCCTGTTCCAGTTGCTTCGAGGTTTGTCGTATTGTCATCGGAGGAAAGTTCTCCACAGAGACCTGAAACCCCAAAATCTGCTGATCAACGAGCGAGGAGAACTAAAACTGGCTGACTTTGGTGAGTCAACGGCATCTGTATACCGCGGGTAACAGTAACACCAGAATCAGAATCAGCTTTATTCGGCAAGTACGTGTGTGCATACAAGGAATGTGACTCTGGTAGACTTGCTCTCAGTGTACCAGAAATGACATAAGTACAGAAATTTAGGCAAGAAGTGGAATATACAGAATATACATTATACAAAAAATATACAACTATACATCAAATATAAAAATATATAAAAAATATTTTTAAAAAAATATATACAATACACAAGGATGCAGTGTTGTTTTGATCTGCCACTCTGTGACCGTTACGGAGTTCATCAGAGCGACAGTAATACCACAACCAGTCTACAGACGGACAGACAGACGGTGACAGCCTATTCCTGCTATGGACCGAAGTGTCTACAAAGTGAATGATGTAACGTTGTGATGTTAGTGAGGTGGGATGTCACTGCAATGATGTCACTCAGGCACTGTGTGTGTTCCAGGTCTGGCTCGAGCAAAGTCCATCCCGACAAAGACATACTCTAACGAGGTGGTGACGCTGTGGTACCGACCGCCGGACATCCTGCTGGGCAGCACCGACTACTCCACTCACATTGACATGTGGTCAGTACTGCAGTACTTTAAATGAGCCCGGTTCCTGACTACTCCCTGTCAGTTAAAATGTAGGCTGGTTGTCTCCGCTGAATATTAATGTTGGTCATTATTCTGTTATGCCATTAAAAAACATCTCACCACTACAGTTCACTGAAGTACTACTGCAGAACTAACTCTGTGAGCAGCTGACAAAACTTTGCTTCCCAGACAAAAAAAACTTCTGAATCTCACATTATTTTATACACGGAGATTTTTCACATCAGATCAGCTGATTGTGTTTTCACAGATACAACTCTAACAACCTGTCTGTCTGCCTGTCTGTCTGCAGGGGTGTTGGTTGTATCTTCTATGAGATGGCGACAGGTCGACCTCTGTTTCCTGGTTCCACGGTAGAGGAGGAGCTCCACTTCATCTTCAAACTCCTGGGTGAGACCCAGTCAGCTTCAGTTATTTGGGTTCATGGAAAGTGTGTACTCAGTGTGTACTTGATGGGTTCAATGTATTCTTGTGTGTTTGAAGTATATTGTGTGTACTTAATGTGCAGGCACTCCCACAGAGCAGAGCTGGCCTGGGATCAGCTCTAATGACGAATTTGTGGCGTACAACTACCCTCAGTACAGAGCGGAGAGACTGAGTAACCACACCCCCAGGTACACACCTGTGCTACACAACTGTGCTACACAACTGTACTACACACTTACCAGGGGTGTAAATCATTAGTTTCATCATGATATGATATGAAATCGATTCTTTGGACAACAATACGATATTTGTCGATGTTACAAAGTCTGCCATGATATGATTTTTAATCTGTTGTGATTCAGGGACCTTCGATAGATATGAAACGACATCATCTGTCATCTGTTACAAAAGAATCTGACAACTCTTTTTTCAATTCAATTCAATTTTATTTATAAAGCCCAATATCACAAATCACAATTTGCCTCACAGGGCTTTACAGCATACGACATCCCTCTGTCCTTAAGACCCCCTTAACGGGGAAAAAAAACGGTAGAAACCTCAGGAAGAGCAACTGAGGAGGGATCCCTCTTCCAGGACGGACAGACGTGCAATAGATGTCGTACAGAACAGATCAGCATAATAAATTAACAGTAATCCATATGACACAATGAGACAGAGAGAGAGAGAGAGAGAGAGAGAGAGAGAGAGAGAGATGCAGGTAATGACAGTAGCTTACAACAACATTAATGAAAGTAATAATATTATAGTTATAGTTCTGGCTACTGTGGTACAATATGTTGAAAGTATGTATTAATATCTGACAGTATACTTGTGTGACAATAGTCATATGTGTATAATAACAGTAGAAGTATGACTAATGACTAATGATGGCAGCAGCAGCAGGAGGCATCTGGCAGGACCACGGCAGCAGCACAACCACACACGTCACGCTGTCCAGGCACCGCTGCGGTATGAGTTAATCTGAGAGACAGTGGAGCACAAAGGCTCCGGAGAAGAAGCCGAGTTAGTGACATCCAGAATGGCCGAGTTAGCAAGATGCAGTAATAGGATACGAGAGAGAGAGAGAGAGAGAGAGAGAGAGAGAGAGAGAAGGAGAGAAGGTGCCCGGTGTATTATAGGGGGGTCCTCCGGCAGACTAGGCCTAAGTCAGCCTAACTAGGGGCTGGTACAGGGCAAGCCTGAGCCAGCCCTAACTATAAGCTTTATCAAAGAGGAAAGTCTTAAGTCTAGTCTTAAATGTGGAGACGGTGTCTGCCTCCCGGACCGTAACAGGAAGATGATTCCACAGGAGAGGAGCCTGATAGCTGAAGGCTCTGGCTCCTGATCTACTTTTGGAGACTTTAGGGACCACGAGTAACCCTGCGTTCTCAGAGCGCAGTGTTCTGGTGGGATAATATGGCACTATGAGCTCTCTAAGATATGACGGAGCTTGACCATTTAGAGCTTTATAAGTTAACAGTAGGATTTTAAATTCAATTCTGGATTTTACAGGGAGCCAGTGCAGAGAAGCTAAAACAGGAGAAATATGATCTCGTTTCTTAGTTCCTGTTAGTACACGTGCTGCTGCATTCTGAATTAGCTGGAGAGTTTTTAAGGACTTACTAGAGCTACCTGATAATAGAGAGTTACAGTAATCCAGCCTTGAGGTAACAAAAGCGTGGACCAATTTTTCTGCATCTTTTCGGGTCAGGATAGGCCTAATTTTCGCAATATTACGCAGATGAAAAAATGCAGTCCGTGAGGTTTGCTTTAAATGAGAATTAAAAGACAAATCTTGATCAAATATTACTCCGAGGTTTCTTACGGTAGTGCTAGAGGCCAGAGCAATGCCATCTAGAGAAACTATGTCATCAGATAAAGAGTCTCTGAGTTGTTTGGGGCCAAGAACAATAACTTCAGTTTTGTCTGAATTTAACATCAGGAAATTGGTGCTCATCCAATTTTTTATGTCTTTAAGGCAGTTATGGAGTTTAGTTAATTGATTACTTTCTTCTGGCTTCATCGATAAATACAACTGTGTATCATCCGCATAACAATGGAAATTTATAGAGTGATTTCTAATGATGTTACCTAAAGGAAGCATATATAGAGTAAATAGGATTGGTCCGAGCACAGAACCTTGCGGAACTCCAAAACAAACTTTGGTACGTAAGGATGATTCATTACGAACGTCAACAAATTGAAAACGATCAGATAAATAAGATTTAAACCAGCTTAGTGCTGAACCTTTTAGGCCAATTAAGTGATCCAGTCTCTGCAGTAGAATTTGATGGTCAATTGTGTCAAACGCCGCACTAAGATCTAATAAAACAAGAACAGAGACGAGTCCTTTGTCTGAAGCAATCAGAAGGTCATTTGTAATTTTAACTAGAGCTGTCTCAGTGCTATGATGCACTCTAAATCCTGACTGAAATTCCTCAAATAAATTATTATCCTGGAGAAAATCACACAGCTGGTCTGCGACTACTTTCTCAAGGATCTTTGACATAAAGGGAAGATTAGATATTGGTCTATAGTTGGCTAACACCTCTGGATCCAGGGTGGGCTTTTTTAGGAGAGGTTTAATTACAGCTACCTTAAAAGACTGTGGTACATAGCCTGTTAATAGGGATATATTGATCATATCTAATATATGAGTGTTAACTAAAGGAAAGACCTCCTTAAGTAGCCTAGTTGGGATGGGGTCTAAGAGACACGTTGATGATTTAGATGAAGAAATCACTGCGGTCAATTCTTGAAGAGAAATTGGGGAGAAGCAATCTAAATATATATTAGATTCTACAGCTGTGTTTGAGGTTAGATAGGTAGGCCTACCATCTGAGGGCAGGAGGTCATGAATTTTGCCTCTAATAGTTAGAATTTTGTCATTAAAAAAGCTCATAAAATCATTACTGCTAAGGGCTAAAGGAATACAAGGCTCAATAGAGCTTTGACTCTCAGTCAGCCTGGCTACAGTGCTGAAAAGAAACCTGGGGTTGTTCTTGTTTTCTTCTATTAATGCTGAGTAATAGTTTGCTCTGGCATTGCGGAGGCCCCTCTTATAAGTTTTGAGACTGTCTGTCCAGATTAAACGAGATTCTTCCAGTTTGGTTAATCGCCAATTCCTTTCAAATTTTCGCGATATTTGTTTTAACCTACGGGTTTGAGAGTTATACCAAGGAGCAAACTTTCTTTGCTTTGTTAACTTCTTTTTAAGAGGAGCTACAGAGTCGAGCGTTGTTCGCAGCGAGCCTACGGCGCTATCAACAAAATGATCAATTTGGGAGAGGTTAAAGTCGGCACGGGAAACCTCTGTTACTGAAGGTATTGGTATTGAATTTAACGACGAAGTAATCTTTTCCTTAAATTTTGTGACAGCACTATCTGATAAACATCTAGTATAGTAACTGTTGCTGAGTGGCGTGTAATCGAGTAAAAAGAAATCAAAAGTAATCAGATAATGATCTGATAGCAAGGGATTCTGTGGAAAGACTTTTAGGTTATCAATTTCAATTCCATACGTCAGAACTAGATCGAGGGTATGGTTAAAACAGTGAGTGGGTTCATGTACACCCTGACTGAAGCCAATGGAGTCTATTAATGAGATAAACGCGGTAGCCAGGGAGTCATTATCAACGTCGACATGAATGTTAAAATCGCCTACAATAATAACTTTATCTGATTTAAGAACTAAACTGGATAAAAACTCTGAGAATTCAGATACAAATTCAGAATACGGGCCAGGAGCACGGTACACTATAACAAATAAAAGTGGCTGCGAGGTTTTCCAGGTCGGATGTAAAACACTAAGAACGAGGCTTTCAAATGAATTATAATCTAGTTTAGGTTTAGGGCTGATTAACAGACTAGAGTTAAAAATGGCTGCAACTCCCCCTCCTCGGCCGCTGCCTCGAGGAATGTGGGTATTATTATGTTACTTTTGCCAATAAAAGACAAAAACACCACATAAATAATGTCAAATAATTACAACCACTTAAGAGCAATGACGTTTACTTTGAATTAACGTCACTAACACATATAAAACAAGCTAAGTCTAGACTTTTTGTCACTCACGGTTGGTTCAAGTCGCTGCGTCTCCGACAGTTTGAGGTTTCATTTAGCCACTTGTTAGCAATAGCTTTCTCTAAGACACATAAAAAGCTTCAGAGTTCACAGTGAGGTATTTACTGACGTATTTTATGTTGTAGAACAACGTAGAACTCTCTTTAGATTGTGTGAACCACAGACCTTATATGAGGCATCTCACCAAAAACCCACTGACTTCAAGATCAGGGAACCAATAGTGGTAAAATGCTAACTCACTTCCCGGTTTTAGGACTCATTCCTCAGGCGCTCTATTTCAGTGCACGTGTTTTTCAGCCCAACACTGTTGGAACAGAGAAGCTAATGTTGCTGCAACACGTTAGCGGAGTGACACACCTGTCGAGGTAGGTACGTCGGGTTTTATCTCGTAACAACATTGTTTACATACGACATGTCCTCTGTCCTGTGTTTTCTCTGAAATCCAAAATATTTCCACCCTGCTGATTTATTAACAAGTTAATAACGTCATTCTCATCATTTTACTCTTGGCTGCTGCTGTTTGACGATGACGCAGAATTTAAAAAAGAAAAGAAAAAAAAAGCGTAACCTAAAGATGATGACGTGGATCGATGTTTTCACTCTGCATCAATGATACTGGATCATTGATCATTGAATTGATATACTGATCCAGATAGACGGCTCGTTTCTCCCCTACACGCAGAGTATACAACTGTCCCGAGTACAGAGCAGAGAGACTGGACCTCAGGTTCAGTTTTGTTTTTGTGTGTGTGTGTGTGTGTGTGTGTGTTTCAGGCTCAGCAGTGAAGGTGTGGACCTGTTGTCAAAGTTCCTGCAGGTCAGTGAACGTCTCACTGATTTAATTAAATATTAAACTGGACTAACTCTTGATATTAAAAACAGAGATGTTATGGTGACTTCTGAATCTCATTAACTGTTTGTATTCAGTCACTTTTAGATCTGTGATTATGATGTAATGTTCATGTGGCAATACCACGACAGGATGTGACATCACGATGTCTGAAAAAACACTAACATTGTTGTTTTCTACAATGACAGTCGATAAAGTTTTTATTTCAACTTTAGTTTGAAGGGAAGAAGAGGATCTCAACAGCTGAGTCAATGAATCACCGTTACTTTAGTAACCTTGGAAACAGAGCGATGACACTTCCTGACAGTAAGTATAAACACAACCTTTGACCCCAGCTTTCAGTCTGTGATGTAACTGTGGACCATGACATCACAAAATCACTCTTAATGTCATTTCAGCAACGTCCATCTTCAGTCTGCCAGAGATCCAGCTGGAGAAAGAAACGATCAGACCAACAACAGTCACACCTGATCCAGGTAACACACACACACACACACACACACACACACAGTTATTTTATGACGATCTATTCCCAAACCAGAACCGCAACGTGCAATACCTCACTGGCCCCGCCCCCTGCACGTATGACCAATTAGTTGTGCAACCCAACCAATCTCGCCAACGCAAAATCAGTGGTCGAGAAATATCCCGAGCTAAACACCTTGCAGTCCTGTCATTATGAAGACAATGGCCAAAAAGAATCTTAAGAAAACTCTCTGAAGTTTCTTGTGAAAGTGTCAGAAACACTCTAGGTGATACAGAGACAGAGTAATGGGCCTCTGAAGTCAGTAAAAAATAGAAGATTTTGCCTAAGATAAAATAAAAAACGTGTTTCAGGATGAATAACTGTCTGTGGCTTCATCTGAGCAGGTAAATGACACTGTGGGGCTGTAGGCACACTGTCAATGAACACTTGTTTCAAATTTGAAGAAGACTGCTCAAAGTATGACCATTCTACAGTGTTTTTACCATGAAAAGATCCAGGCGGAGCTTCAAATGACAAGTCGGTCACTTGGCTTCAAAACAGTACTATCAGTGATCAAACAACACTCAGCCAGCTTCAAACATTGTACCTTATTGAAATCAGGTGTGATTATGATAGCTGATGTTGTTTATGACACAGAAACACCATAAAATATCACCAAATAAAGCCATATGAAACGTGAAAGTTATGATCCCACTTTCTAGACGGTATATCTCAGCCAAAAATAGTGGTAGGAGTGAGACTCTTACCTTTTATAAACCAGCTAAGTCCCCGCTAACAGCTCCACATAAGATCGCGAGTAATCCTTTAACTTTTCCCGTCGAAAAACGGCATGACATGACTTGTCACCACTCATCGCGATTTTGGACTTTGTGTGTTTAGGCTGCTCTGGTGCCAAATACATAATAAATAAAAGAAAAACGATGTTATTTTTGAAAAGTCGAGAGCTTCCTGAATCCGGCAATACCAAACATCACATGGTTTGATGACGTAGTGCGCCTGGGAGATACCATTTAACAGAGGAGGGGGGGGGAGAGGAGTTAGAGAGGTCAAATACAGTCTAAGGCAGAGACACATCTCTCTTAGTGAGGCTCAGAAATAAATTTACATTATTATTATTAAACATTGTTCAAACGTCATCACTGTTTATTCAAAGTGACAAAAGAAGTAATGGAGAGAGAAACTGAGCTGATAACACAATCTCACGTCGAGGTCCATTTAGCAGCTGTTCTGGAACTTGTAATCACAAAGTTCATTCTTGACGATCCACAGCTGCGTGACCTCAGTGGACGAAGATCAGACTGAAAGTTCCAGAACAATAGTGGACCTCATGGTGTGATAGCTTTTTCATTCTAAGGTGAAGAGTGAAGTCATTCATTAAGTTGTTGGTTTCAATCAAAAACTTTTTTTTCTGTCTAGCGAACAGTCCGGGCAAGAGGCGGAGTCTGCTGTTCTGACATCATTGGGAGGCAGAGTCTGGTCCTCTGACATCACTTGGAGACAGAGTCTGCTCCTCTGACATCACCAGGGAGGCGGAGTCTGCTCCTCTGACATCACCAGGGAGGCAGAGTCTGCTCCTCTGACATCACCAGGGAGGCGGAGTCTGCTGCTTTGATATCACCAGGAGGTGGAGTCTGCGCCTCTGACATCACCAGGTAGGAGGAGCGTGCTCCTCTGACATCATCAGGGAGGTGGAGTCTGCTTTTTTTTTTTTTCTTCTTCTTCTTCTCTCCGGAGGAGTAAAACAAGAACAGGAAGTAAAATGATAAGAAGAAAACAAACTGAGCCCTGAAATGATTGTTTATCAGACAGACAGACAGACAGATGCAATAATGAATCACAGCATGCTGTTACTAACGGCAACAGATTCACCTCAGTACGTGAACAGATGAATGAGTTAAAGCTTATTGAACAGACGCATGTAAACATGTAAGACACGGAAACACCTGAGTACAGGTATCACCTGAGTGACATCATTGATGACATCACAGAAACAGAGGGACGATTTTACAGGCTTTTACAGGCTTTGGGTTGTCGTTGTTCGGGACTAAACTGACACGTTTTTTTATATTCTATCCGTTTACAGAAAAACAGAAACTGAACAGGAACATCTTGTTTGTTAACGAATATAACTTGTCATTGATTCAGACTGCACTGAATTAAAACTTTATTTGATTCAGTTTAAAGCAGATCTGAAACCTCAAACAGCTGAAAGCCATCAGATGAACAGAGTTCATCATCAGATCAGACAGACTGATCTCCACCTGTTTTATACTCTGAATATAAACTGGAGGTGACCGCAGGAACAGCTGATGAGGAGCTGATGAAGAACGAAAGGTCTTCGTAATCTGTTTGGCGCTGCTGTTTGTGTTTCTGCCACAGTAGAGTGTTAGATTTACAGTATTACATTTACACTTTAATGTTATTAATTATAAAGATACTGAAACTCTTTAACAGCCTGCAGGAGAAGCCATGTTAGTTTCTGCAGAATAGACATTTTGACTGTTTTATTCTGAAAGTGTGAAATTGGTTTCTGCTGTTCTGCATGTGTGTGTGTGTGAGTCGTACACTCAGACTGTATACTGGTAATATATATATACTGATACTGTACAAACACTACAGTGATGCTGTAAATATATATAGTTATACTGTAAGTCTGCAGGAAACAGCTGTGAACTGTTTCCTCTCTATGTGCCGTTTCTCACAGAGAAGTTATTTATTTTAGGATTATTTGTGGGCTTTAAATCGCCTTGATTAGACAGAACAGCTGAAGATAGACAGGACAGAGGACAGACAGGGCAACAAAGGGTCACAAGTCAGAACTGAACCCGTTCCACTGCGAAGGACTCAGCCTACATGGGGGTGCACGCTCTGCCAGATGAGCTACTAGGGCGCCCCAGAGAGTTTTATTTTTACAGATTTTATTGTTTTTTATTTGACTGAAGGTCAATAAGTAGGTTTTCTAACTGAGACTGTCGGAAATCAGGGGAGGACCATGTGATGTCGCCAGAGACTTGTGACATCACCGCCCCCTCCCTGAACCACATGACATGTTAGAGGACAGTTGAGGGCTCCAACTGACCAGCCAACACCAAGTGAACACTAAGTCAACAACCATCACTAAGGTACACTTAACCCACACTAAGTCAACAGCCAACACTAAGTCAACACTCAGCCAACAGCCAACACTAAGTCAACACTAAGTCAATACTCAGCCAGCAGTCAACACTAAGTCAATACTCAGCCAGCAGTCAACACTAAGTCAATACTCAGCCAACAGTCAACACTAAGTCAACACTAAGTCAATACTCAGCCAACAGTCAACACTAAGTCAA